TGGTGCTATTTATGTCCGGGACCCCTTAATATGCAAATAACAGTTTAAGTCTAGGCATCATGCTTTGAATACCTTAATCCCTTAAACTCAGGCTTTAATACCTCCCCTGTAACACCCCAAACTTCCACATTTGCGTATAATATGTGCTTCATATAAAAGAAATACAATTTACACCACAAAGGTCCCACTAGTATAAAAAATTATATACAGAATTTACAACTCAAAAATTCCAAAAGAATGTTCTTGTACTATCACATGTATAACAACATGTATCTTCAAAATACATCAATCAACAGGTTGATCTTCAAAACAACAAATAAGCATATTAGGAAAATAATCATATTTTCCCCTTCCCTTATTATCCCGGGACACAGTTGATCCTACAATGTGTATTTTAAAACACAAAATGAGGGTTAGACAAGGAGGTCTTGTGAGATAACCCTTGTTTTACAATTACAGGGTGAAGATCACTAAAACCTGTTTAAAATTCACGCTTGAATATCCAACCACTTTAAATCCAATATCAGGCAATCAAAACTTCGTTATAAAACGATCTTACCACATAAGAAGAATAACTACTCAGGTTCTCACAGACAATTGAAATAGAACTCTCAAAGCTCACAAGTCACAACTGATCAAAACTTATGGTCTCAACTTCAACGATTATATAAAAGAGTAACAACAAATAAAAATCACCAGAGTTCTTGGTTATTATAAAAAAACGTTTAAGATACAATCAGAAATGTTGACTCAAAATTATCGCATCTTACGGATGTGAAAACAAGAGCTACTATAGTAATCACACACATAATTGCTACCCTTATCCACATGTACACCTTTCCTTGATATGTCACCCTTATCCCATGGTACACATCTCTTTGATATGTCACCCTTATCCCATGATACACCTCTCCTTGATATGCCACCCTTGTTTCCACCTTAAATCTACAGATAAATCTGTAATTTTAGCCAATAATGGCTTCAAAATAGTTTCATATCAAAAACTTTATCTCAAGAACTTCTCAAGTTCTTAAATTTACTTTTTAATCTCAACTCAATATTTCTTTCAAAACATACTTCACGTCACAACCGTTTTGAAAGAAAACAACATTATCTTTTTCTCAAATTAAATCAACATATGAAAGATACAGTTACCCTTTCCAACCCAAAACAGTTTAGAAACTGATAGATAACATTTGTGAAAACAACTACTTTTTATTTCACAAGACTTAGGCAATAATTGCCCTTCATCGGCCAATACTATGGCCGATGACCCCTTCCTCATCGGACAACACTTTGAAAATGGTAAGCATACTCATCGGTTACACTCTGTCTGGTAACAATCCTCATCGGCAACACTGTTTGGTAACCAACCTCACCGGTCATTACTTTACCCGGTTAACTACCTCACCGGTTCAACACTTATCAACATAAATATTAAACCGGCCAAGGCTTTGTCCGATGAGCATCCTCATCGGACAAGGGTTGTATGATAACACTCCAATCTGTTCAACACTCTACTATCCAAATATTAATCCAAACAACACTTGGGCGATGAGTGTCTAATCCAAATAACACTATATTCGGTAAATGGTCTTCACCGAACAAGACTGTGTCCGATAAAGTCCTCACTGGTCAACACTCAACATTACTTCAGTCTGCTTGGCCGGTAAGAAGCCCTCATCGGACAACACTCTGTCCGATTACAGGCCCTTATCGGCCCATGAATTTCATCAAGAAGAAGGCATACATTCAAAATATAAACACCAGCAGATTCTAAAACTGTAAAATCCAATATAAGTAAATTCAAAGTCTGGTTATTAAAAGAACTCACCTTATGCAAGAATCATAAATTTTAAGATGAAATATGCACACATATTGCTTCCACTTTGATCCCACTCTCAATTTTCCAATTTTGGCAAGAACACACATGATTTCTCTCTTCTCTATTTTTGTTTCTAATAATGGTAGGAAGGTTTTCTTTCCAAAAAAATTTCCCTTTTTATACCTGCCTTATGATGAAAGGCGGTTTTTGAAAAAACTCTTTTCTTCTCAATCTCATGCACATACACACATGTACATATTTAATCCATGCATACACATCCCTCATGCATGCTTGCATAATTCTCCCGACTACAACTCATATATACACATAAAATATCCACACACGTACATGCATGCATGCATACATATAAAACATGCATGCACATATGCATATTAATAATGCATACATAGACTCACATCAACCTTCCATGCATACATATACATGATACACATTTACACACATATATATATATGCATATACCCACATGATTAATTGTAGCAATTAATCAGATATTCACATAACCATATAATCAAGTAATCACATAATAATTACCTCAGGTGTATATCCATGACCAGGTTATCACAGTATTACAAAAGTTTCCTAAAATGGGGTGTTACAATAGAGGTCCAATGACCTTAGAATGGTGATTATAGTCGGCTTTCCAAGCTTGATTTTAAGTTTGTTTTTCAATCGATTAATCATGTTTGCTTTCCAATTAATTTGGGTGCTTTGAATACCATTCAGGTCTGTTTTCCAATCAACCTTTTGTTTTCCTCTATACTTCATTTATGTATAGCAATTGATTTTGTATAGAAATCAATGCTACAGTGTGGAGTGACGAAAAGAATAGAGGTCCAATGACCTTAGAATGGTGATTATAGTATGATTTTTTCGTATCGTGTAACAAGCCTGATTTATGTTTCAAGTTTGGGTGTCTCCTTTACAAAATCAAACAACATTCTTGTGGAAGGCCCAACGAAAATAGCATATGAAACCAAATACATATGCAAGATGAAGTCCAGCCTCTTATACTACTACATTGATTTAGAACTATGGTAAACTCTGCTTTGAAACTTGATTTAGAACTATGCTATATTTTGTTTTTAAATTTTGTATATTGCCAAAATACTGCAAAAGTGACAATGCCCCATAGACAAACTGTACTACCTGCAAGTAAGAGGGAGTTAGTTATCAATTTCAAGATTAGGCACAATCTTTTTCCTATTTCCTCTTGAAGCATTCTTCCTTCTTTCTTCAATCATGTGAACGTATTCCGTCACTACGACATGGAATTTTTGGAGCAACCTTATTTGTATTAATGATATCTAGACCAGCCTTCTTTAAGGCACGACTAACATGTTATTGAGCTCTTTGGAAGTGAATGATGCAGAGAAAAAGGCACAATAGAATGCAATATTGGCTTCCCATAGGTTATAGATCATGTCTGTGAGCTAAACGGAGATAAAGAAAAAGGTAACCCTTGTTAGAGTAGTAATTGGCCAATATAAACTATTACCATACCTAAAAAGAAATGCAGATAACCAAAAGGTGCAAAGTTGGTACTGATAAAGCCCAACCTACAAACTTTACCAAGGCGAGGACTGAGGAGCGTATATGAATATTTGTCGTATATACTTTAAAAAACACATAGGTAGAGGTATAAATCATCTAGCAGTTTCTTTCGTCGGTAAACTTTCTCACTAGCCAGATCAACATCAATAAAAAAAACTCCTTAGATGGATGGGGAGTACAGGTTTTGGAGGTATACAACAAAAGATAAAGGTAAATGAAATTATTAGAACAATATGGAGACACAACATGAACTAAAAGCATGGAGTTGTTCATAAAATTTCTAACTCAAGTTCAAAGCAATTTTTCTTTCATTTTCGCCATTTAGGTGCCTGTTTTAAGCTTTAAGTAAACACAATGGGTACTCAATCAATGAGTGTGTGAATTATTCATCTAAACATTCTTTAATTATAATGTCATTTTCACATTGTTGTTGCATGTGCCAAAAGTATGCATACACTGCAGATGCAAACTCGAAGTCGAACCAATGCTTGAGTAGTTTTTTTGAAGTTTTGGCTGTCATGGGCACGGTAAAGTGTTGGTTGGGAAGAGTCATCAAACAGTATCACATCAAAAATTTACTAGGTAGGTAGTATTGGGTAATAGTCGTCATCATCACTTACCGGGTAAGATTCTTGGCCCTCATCCTGTTCATCCATCGAGCAAGGTTAATGTTAAGGTAAATGATACTGTTGGGTCATTGACCGACATCTTCCTAAATCGATATGTGGCGCTGACTGCTACACTATAAGAAAATAAGTTGCCCTTTCTCCATCAGCAATTGTTTTTGGCGTAATGATAAGCGCTTGAATCCTAACAGATACGATAGACGCTTAGCGGATAAGCATTTAGTAAATGTCACCTTAGTTACAATTATATTATTATTGAAGCCAAGTGTATATAATTATTAAAATTATAACAAAACTTGGAATAATCTTGCAACATTTGCATTCTCCATACATACAATTAATATGTAGTGTAGTAATTGGTGGTTGGGTCTGTCCTTATGAATCCAACCAATTCAACATATGAACCTATGAACGAGTGGTTGGATACATGCTGACTTGGAATTGGATTTGATCTAAACAGATCCACTTTTGTACTAATTCAAGTTGGTCATATCATATCAATTTGTGTTTGGTAGATCGAGAGTTTCCTCAATATTGGTAATATCAACTTGTGTTAGTACTTTAGCCAATCGAGTGATCATTTAAAACCAAACCATGTATATCATGTTTTTTTAAGGTTACCGTACAACTTTAGACCATTAGATCATTAACTTATAAAGTTGATCAATGACCATAAATTGGTCTTACAGGTCTCAAAAAAAACTCTTGGTCTTACGTGAACCCAACCCTATATATTTAGCCAATCGAGTGATCATTTAAAACCAAACCATGTATATCATGTTTTTTTAAGGTTACCGTACAACTTTAGACCATTAGATCATTAGCTTATAAAGTTGATCAATGACCATAAATTGGTCTTACAGGTCTCACGAAAAACTCTTGGTCTTACGTGAACCCAACCCTCTATATATATATATGTATATATATATATATATAGCATGTCCTGATGACATTATGCAATTATTTTGGGATTAAGAGAAACAAAACACCATCAAAATACAAGTAGATTGATGTATAGAGTCTAAACTGCAATTGCTAACCATGCCCATGAGTAGCAAACCTCATTTCCAAACATTGATGATCACATTAGGGAGGTTTTCAAAAGTAGAGAGAAACAATTAGAAAAAGATTGTTGGGTCTTTCATTTTATCAGGTAATGACATGGATCAACCCCTCATCAACCTTGCACTTCATGCTTGGATGTGTATTTGTCCATCAACCTACTCAATTCTGCATTAAGCCCCTCCTCCAACTCGATCTCTTCCCTCCAGTGCCTGCCCTTCATCTCCGCCGTCTTCTCTTCGTGCAATTTCATCAACTTCTCCCTCTCTTCCTCGAATTCTTTCATTTCTTCAAGCTTCTCCTCCCTGTTTGTTTGCATATACCAACCAACAGTAAAGGTCAGTATGAAAAAAGAACATTTTCGGGAAAACATATACAACACCAGAGGATTGATAATTACAGAAACCATGGTTGATAATGACGACATAGATATAAAAGATATGGCATGGGCCAAATACCTCTTCTGAGGATCCACCACAGAATAAGATTGATCGACCCGCCTGCATTCTTCCTGCTGCAGCTTATCAAAATGGCCTTCTTTCGCATCCCTCGCTTCTTGGATTACCTTCAGCTGGTCTTTGAAGAACTGTTCTTGGTAATCCATCTAACAGAAAACACACACAATAAGAAAATCAGAGCAACCTACTCTATTGGAAGACTTTTAACAATTTATACAAGGCATAGCCTGATCATTTAGATGTTGGTTTTGACATTAATGTTCCAAAATTTGCTTGCAGACAAATCCAGTTGCCAGAGAATCTAGCAAGTTCATCTTGCATAACTTTTGTCAATACATGTAACTTAGAGGTCTATGAATGTGAACTACACCCAACATTTTGAAAGGCGGAATCAGGCTCAAGGCGTTTCCCCTCAACGAGGCAAGGTGTAAGCCTCGAGGCGGTCCAAGGTGTAAGCCCCAAGGCGAAAATCACCAAAATATGTATATATACTACACAAATAAATATACATTTATATACAATATACATAATACTAAATTACTAAGTGAGCAGGATCAGTGGTTCTTGACAGGAAAGTGTGAAACCGCTGAGAGGGTGTGGAAAACTTGGTTGCTTGTGGGAAGAGGAAGGATCAAACCACATTTTGATTGAGAGGAGAAAGTACTACTTTTGGGCTTTAAAATATTAAAAGTACACATTGGGCCAGTAGGGTTTGCTTTTAGTTTTCTAAAATAAAAGAAGACACTTAAGGGCCGTTTTACCAAACACTTACCCGGTAAGCGCTTACTGATAAAATTCAACACTATCTTTTACTTACCGAGTAAAATTTTAGTCCATAAAAATGGCATCGCAGGCAACAATTTACCCGGTAAGCGCTAACCGTGGTAAAATTTGTTGCCCTCACTTACCGGATAAGACTTTTGGTCCTTGCCTCGCTCTTACCGGGTAAGATTTTTGGTCCTTACCATATTCATCCGGTAAAGTAATGTGACTTGGTAAGCGCTAACCTGGGTAAGTGTTTGGTAAGCGGCCCCTTATACTATATAGAGAACTAGAGAAGTACTACTACTGCCTCATCAAACCAAGGCGTAAGCTTCGTCCAGGTCCAAGAGGCGCCACCTCAATTGTGGTTTTGAGTCGCCTCGCCTCGTGGCGTATGCCTCAAACCAATTTTAAAACCATGACTACACCCACATGCCTTTTGTTGTAGCATAAGCGATATCCTTTTCACAGTAGGAGATCCATTTACCGCACTAATGAAAGCAAGAAAGAACGAGACATCGACAGATAACATTCATGGCAGAAATGACATTTATCACATGACAGTCATATGCATAATGGAACACAAATCATATCACAATGTTTTGGTTATGCAGACATGAAGAACAGATTGTCACTTCCTAAAAATTTTTCAAATCATAGAGTATGATAAAAAACAATTAACCAATTCCAAATTGCTATAAGATATCCATCATAGTGCATGCTTAAGATGACTAAACTAATTATGAGTTTTCATGGAGGCCAAGAAATTAAAGGTTGTAATCACCTGCCAATCCAACCAATTTAATGTCAAGACCATAGCAATAGTTTAAAAAATTACCTCTTCCTTGTTCTCCTTATGGTACTGTTGTGTTCTATCCCTGATGATGCGGTTTTCTACTTCGGTTTTTCGCAGCTTCTGAGATACCAACCCAAACGATTCTTCAAGTGCTTTTGAATGCTTCTGTTCTTTTGCAACCCTGGTCTTGTAATAATGCAACTGTTGGTTGTCCTCATTCATTTGCTTTAGCTGGTTGACAACCTTCTCTTCGTAGGAAACCAGCTCAAACTTCAACTTCGATTTCCCTAAACAAACATAGAGCAAGTCAATAGCATTTCAAAAGTTTGAGAACAAAAAGAGCTTCAAGGAAAAGGAAAGAATGATACATACCTGGGGAATGCTGATTAAATACATCCAAATCTCTTTTTGTAGCCATGTAGCCATATAATTGTCGCTTACCCCCAGGATAGAACAAATTGCGGCGATGATCCCAGGCATCTCTGTCTGTGCCTTGATGTTCGAAATGCTTGCTCAGACGCTCAGCCTCTGTATATCCTACAGCCGTGGACTCGAATATAAGCAAACTCATCCCCCTATGCCCTTTAGGCCCATAAGAATGACGAGCTTTCACTGCTGCGTAAGACCCAAAATAATCAAGAAGCTCTTGGTTTCCCATGCCAAGCCACTGAAATAAGAGTTCCATTTTAGCAAGTTGGTTTACGACATGAAACACACATTCATTAACAAGCTATTAACTCTAATTGTGAAAATGCTTTGAATGAATAATTAAAAAACAGTAACCGTTCTTCCGAATTCAGAAGGCACTAACATTAGTAATATACCTTCTCATTTTCATCCTGTTCAAGCAGTGTATTCATGACGACAACCATTGGTGGCCAGACTATTTCCCTGTCTTTAACAACTTCATTCAGTCCCTTCCACTGTCCATATGCTTCACCGGCTGGTACAACTGTAGCTCCCCTCCTACGCAATTCTTCCTCCAAAATTTCAGCAAGATCTCGATGAATCTTTACTCTTTTGGACCCTTTTGTTTTGGCATGTGTCACAAGAGACTGCAGACTACGATACCAGTCAATAGAACCAGGACCATTCTTACAAGCTGGACAATGCCACTGCCTTGTTGGTTCATTGATCTGCTCCACCGTCAGGGTATCCAAAGTTCCAAAGAAATCAGCGTACCACCTATTCTTCTTTCTTGTCTCGTGGCTTTGGGGGCTTTCATCTGAATCATACTCTTCACTGAGAAGCTCATCATCAGATCCATCAAGATCCTCAGTGTAATTGTTATCCTCAAGATCTTCCTGTTCAACTTCCTCCACACCAGAAGGATGAGGGGTCGTTAATGTCTCCCTCTGCCCTGCATCATGCCTAGCATTGCCATGCCTGGAGTTCCAATTCCATCCACTCTGCAAAGGTGGAGGAATTGTATTTGAGGCAGCAGTGTAGTTATTCTCATAGTATTTGTTCATCGGTTGGTTGCTAGAACTACCTTTGACACCTGTCTGGGTTCCCCACACATTGTTTGGAGCCCTTACATGTCCGTTTCCCCGTCCACCAGCTTTCTGGGCATCCCATGGAGTAGGTTTAGGAGTCTGAGAACCCCATTGTTTTGAAGCAGCACCATTTCCAGTTCTATTTTTGTTCTTTTTGGATATAACCTCCCAATTACCATCCTGGCTGGAATCCAGGTTCACATCTTGGACTCCCTGACTCAAGTGATTAACATCAATCCCAACTACATTTTTACCCTTGGGTGAAGCCTTGTTGCCCTCACCTCTGCTAGATTGACCGCCTCCTCTTTTAGAACTCATCTGCAAATAAATTCACAAACTAAACATGATGAAGAAAATCCTTATCAGAATTCTGTATGAAAAGGATGCTGTCAAAGAAAACAATTATGCACAATGATAAAGAAAATGTGATGTATGTTTACTATACTTGCAACTTGTAATTTCAAACTTTAAAATTTTAGCTTTTACATACTAAGTTACAACCATTTTTGGGAACTACGGGTAGCAGATACCTTTTCTTTCAGACCTACTCAGACCAGTTTGTTAGTTGCAATTTGGTAACTATGGGCTTGAAACTTATGGATTTCATATACTGTATAGAATTTGTGATTAGAAAATTAGCCAAACAAGGGGACAATCTGTCAATGACCTGTGAAACATAGCATTTGGGTGGGTCAATGATCGGATAAGAAATAACAATGGTACCACGATTAACCTAAAACCAAGAAAGAAAGAAGTATCGTAAATGTTAACCCAAAATTCTTTCGTTGTTGAACTTATCAAACCCTAATGAAAGATAATCACGAAAAGGGAAATATATGGTAAGAATTAACAGATTAATGATCCGATCATCACCATATAATCACAAACAGAAACAAAGACAGTATTAGGGTTATAAACTTTACTTATGTTTATAGCACTTTCTATTTGGAGTTCCTTGTCATTAAACTAAAAACCCTAATCAGGGTTTTGAATGCAAACATTTCTCAAAGGGCCAAAAAAGGTGTTCATCAAAAAATAGAATCAGCGTCTGAGTCTTTTACTACCGGCAAAGATTCATCTTAAAAATAAGAAGCAGATACATTTTATCAACAAGAAAAGAAAGATCAAAGAAAACGTTATACCAGCACAGAAGAGAAACCAAAGTTGCTGCTCAAAGCTCAGGGGAAGAAGGTCGACGATGTTGAGAGAAATTGTCGCTAGAAATCTGAAGTTGTAGCAAGAAGATGATGATGGAAGAGCGGCACCTGAGACGACGAGAATGGAGGCGTGATGATGGAAAGGACAGGTGAATCGGATAAATATTTTCTTTTAGAGTAAACTAAAAATTTGGTCCTTTAGTTTCAGACCTTTTACCCATATTGATCATAAATCTAAATATCTTCACGTTTTGAGTCCCTGTCACTAACGAAATTTAAAAAAGTAGTCCGTAACTAAAAGAATAGATGATCAGGGTGATTAAAGAAAATGTTGAATTTAAGAAAGCTTGTTAAAGAATGCTTGAATGTATGCTTACTAGAGGAAAATCCAAAGAAATCTCTTGAACAACATGTGTTACTGTCTTATGAGTTCTCTATTCATCCTAAGCTAAATCTAGGTGAAAATATTGAAATTGTAAGAGATGTTGCAGCTAAAAAGCTGATGATGAATCAGAGAACCAAAAGAGGATGTTGAATATGAATTGGTTGATACTAATCAATGGTTTCTTGGTTGAACATACTTTCATATGTTCAGGGCAACATAAAACTTTAGAGTGGTGTGATACATGGACATTTTTAATCACAATTCAAAGAGGTTTAGAATGGAATACTAGTAGTTCATAGAGAGAACTAGGAAAATAATAAAAAATGTGTATTCAGATTTAAAGATTACAAAGTTTTATTGACTTGAAGTTGAGAAAGTGGAGAAAGTTTGACTATGTTGCTTTTGAAGTTCAAATAGAAGATGGACTAAGCCATAAGTTCCTTGAAGATGACTTCAAGAACTTAGATTTGCAAGATATATATGAGATTTACGGCAAGTTGAAACCTTACAAAGATAAGGTTTCAAAGTTCAAAAGGGATTTTACATCTATCAAACATGGAATTTGTTTGAATATAAAGTTGTTTTCAAGTTCCTGTGCTGTAAACTGCTTTACACTGCTTTGTAATTATTTTTTGTATTTGTTGTTTAGAGGTTGTGTGTGTGGCCTCTTGGTATAAATAGGTTGCTTTGTTGTTAGTTAGTTATCATATTGTAAATCGGGCATAACTTTGTTTTCAAGAACACTCTGTACTTTGACATTCATCAATATATATCTGACTGTTTCAATAATCGTTCTTGTGTTCTTGATTCTTAATCTTTGATTGATTATGACTTGATTTGGGATCTACAATTGGTGTCAGAGCAAATCAGAAGAAGATTGAACGTTTTTGGAATCAATTTAGATTGTGTTTTGAAGGTTCAAACTTTGCTTTTTGTTTCTTGATCAAAAGTGTAATTTTTGTTCAAATTCAGTGTAGCTTCGAGAATTAAAGTTTTTTTTGGTTGTAGTTCGAACTCTATTCCAAAATTCCAATTCAAAATCTTGAGTTTTGAAGATTTTGGGGATGAACTTCAAAGTTATCACATAGTACATATTCAAAGTCATCGCATCGTGCATATTCAAAGTCATCGCATCGGTTATATGCGACAAGTCAAAGTTATCGCATTACAATGACCCGACAACCCAGGTTCTCGCATCTCACAGACTCGAGAAACTTAAGTTATCGCATCTTAAAGACCCGAGAAGTAAGGTTACCACATCTAAAGGACACAACAAGTTGAACTTATAGCATCCGTTTAATGCGACAAGTTACTGTTCACTCTATGTTTGATCCGACAAACTTGTATGATGCGACAAAGTTGAATGCGACAAACTTCATGGTGCGACAAGCTTTCATGTTTGATGCAACAAGTGTTCATGTTCATGTTGGATGCAACAAATTTGGATGCAACAAACTGTTGATCATCTCTCTCAATGATTTGATGATAATCCCTTTTACCCTATGCGAAGTATTTATGTTTATGTTTTTTAGTTCCAGCGATCATCACTGAGTTTGTTCAGTGATCGCTGAAGAACTTGTATTGTAAATCTAATCAGCAACATCGATACTTCAAAAAGACAACACTCGCACCAAAGAACCTTCAGTAAAAGTCGAAGACTGAAACTGAAGATTAGATACTCGCGAGTACGTGATCTGAAGCGGTATTTAGTGATTACAAGCCTGTCTACATATGTGTGAAGACTGCCCAAGCCTCAACGAATGCTGAAGAGACCTTCAGGTTATTCCAGCATTCAGGGATTAAAAGAAGCTTGTTGAGCACGATTGTTGTTGTCTTGTCCTTATGCACACATAGGACAAACCCATACCCTTTCTAAACGTTAGTACGGTAAGGAGCCAATTAGTTGACTCTATTACCCACCAACTTTATGAAATGATGTCTGCTCATGAATAGGCTTTTGTACTATTCACTGTAGCAAAGGATAAGTCTTCCCCTTAAGTCTTGACACGCGTTTTAACCCTACCACGTTGCATTAAATGCAGATTCAATGCAACGGGTATAAATAAATGTGTTCTATCTCCATGCAGAGATACACTTACTAAAAACCTTACTCTGAGCTTTCTTGCGCTTAAGTAAAAGAACACACATCTAAGAACAAATACGCTCATCTTCAAGAGCAAGTTAGAATCCCTTTCATTGTATTCTAAACAAGTTCTCTCCCAAATAGAACTTACTTTCTTCTATTTATTTAACAACAAATGTTTTCATATTTGCTAAGATTAAGTGTGTAAACTTTAGATTGTTTAGATAGGTTTTTCTTACTTTATCTTTCTGCAAACAATCTTGTAAAATCTGTATTGATCTTCTCTTATCAATATATATTTTAAATTTGAAAATACTGTGTTTGTATTCATCCCCCCCTTCTACAAACTGTTATACACATCTTGTAGACCCTAACGGGACCAACAAGTGGTATCAGAGCAGTGCTCTATCTTCTCTAGTTGTTTGGTTGTTTTTCTGCATTACTTTATCTCCGTCTTTAGATAATTTTATTGCTTTAAAAATTGGCTTTACAAAACACAAACAACACGTTCAAGACAATGGCTCTCTTGCCAAACCTCCCCGATTCATCCAAGACAACTTTAGTCTATGGAAGAATCGAATGTCCCTCTTTTTGGAAGGTGTGGATCCTGAAATTCCACACTATTTAGAAAATGAACCATATGTACCATTTGCTATTTCTCCGGCTGTTCCTGAAACAATTACGACTGCCATGATTCCTGAACGGCAGATTCCAAAGCTCCCTCATCAGTGGAGTGATGAAGACAAGAAGAAAATAACTATAGACACTTGCGCTAGGTCTATAATAACTATATCTCTTTCTGATGAGGTTTATCACTCAGTGATGAAATTCAGAACTTCTAAATCCATGTGGGACACTCTTTGTGTTCAATATGAAGGAACCTCTCAGGTTCAAGAATCAAGGAAGATTAATTTAGTAAGGCAGTATGGAAGCTTTCTTTATGGAAAAACTGAGACACTGTCTGAAGTACATCAACGTTTTAATTGTCTTCTTATTGATCTTAGGACTATAGGCAAGGAATATTCCAATTTTGAAACTTTAACTAAGTTTCTGGAATGTCTTCCTGAATTTTGGAACACCTTTTCCATGCGTCTTAAGATGTCCAGTGACATGTTCTCTCTTTCTCTCTCTACTCTCTACGAGATTCTACTTAATCATGAGCAATCTCGTCAGCTGAAAATGAATCTAGTCAAAGATTTCAGAGAAATGAAAAGCTCTCCGTTAGCTTTGATCTCTGAAGATGCTTTAGTTGAAACCCCTTCTTCTTCTTCTTCTTCTTCTTCTTCTTCTTCTTCTTATTCTTCTTTTTCTTCATCTCTTCCTCCTGTTGTAATTACAGAGTTAGACTCTACTAACTCTGAGGATATACCAGAATCTGATCTTGCAGATTTTGATGAATCCTTGGTGCTTTTGACTAAATCTTTTAGGAGATTCGCCAGCAAGAGCAACTTCCACAGATCTCCTTCACTGACCATTAAGGAAATACCAAAGTCTGATAAAATGGACAAGTGTTCAGCAATCTGCTACAATTGTCACCGCACTGGACATTTTGCAGGTGAATGCAGATCAAAGAAGACTGCGACGCCATCATCCAAAACCCCATCCTCCTTTAGGTCCAGGGATGACAAATACCTGAAGCTGAAGGAGAAGTATAAGAAGATGAAGAATCACCAGCGAAAGGCCAAGGGTCTTGTTAGCTCTAATATTCACTTAATGTAAAAGTATGAAAAAGTATTCTGCAAGTGTTGACAGAAGGGTATCTTCCATAGAAGACATCAGAGGACTAGCAACAGAAGCTGTTTCATCGTGCAAGTAAAGTTTAACATAACCTCTGATGTCTCTCACAGAGGTTCTGGAAAATGGTCCTCCGACAATAAGATCATACAAGTCTACTACAGCAGAGCCTCTGAGATGGCTCACAGAGGGTCTACGGATTAGTCTTCTGTGAAGATCCTCTTCTGCTGTTTTTCAAAGGTTGTTAGCTGCATGTGCTTCTCACGTGACTAGATTTTAATAGACTTTATTTGGACAACTTAGATGATTTCACTTTCTAGATCATGTCAGTAAGGTCGTTAGGGTCTAGTATAAATAGCA